ACACTAGTAAATCCGGTATTGATTGTTTTGCAGATATTAAGCAACATCTCACAAAAGTTTGAAGATATGTTGGGAGAACAGCCGACCACAAGCATGATCGTCTGCAGAAACGAAACACGGCCAACGAAAACGTAATGTCAGCAAGAATTGGAAGTTCATGTAACAAGGTTTTTGCTGGACATATCATTCGGCAGTTTGATGAGTATTCAACAATCAATTTTATTGTTCGTAAAATTGATATCACGACTGAATGCTTGCGAAACTAATAAATAAATAAACAAATAAAAAATCACCAAGCATTAAACCAAAACCCGTCACGTACATGGACTCCTGGATCGATTGTCGATGCGTCACAACACCGCCGAGTCGAATAGGCAGGAACTGAAGGAGGGGTAGGCTAAGAAATCAGGGATAACCTTAGGAAGCAACAGCTCTGAAGGAATGTGAGAGATCGAGTGGAAAAAAACGAGTAACTCCAAGGCCCAGTTTGGCAGGCATCAAAACAACGGGCGAGGGGGATGGGCTTGTCAGAATGTTGTATTTGTCTAGCCTGCAGTGGGGTACTCTATAGCGAGTACAGCTCAATCTAGGGTTTCCTATATGTACTCAACTGCTTGCTAGTGAACCTCCTCCTTTCTTCATTCTTTCTTTCTACTACTACTACTTCTGACATGCTATCAGAACAGGTCGATCCCCTTGGGTCGATCCTGTGGGTGGGCCCACCACCTCACTGCTTCCGCTGCTACTGCTACTCTGTGTGTTGCACGCCCCGTGGCGTGCGACGGATTTTTCATCCCGCCGCGCGCTCGGAGCGTGCGGCGGTTTTCTGCCCACCGTGCGCCCCGAGGCGCGCGGCGGTTTTCTGCCCGCCGTGCGCCCCGAGGCGTGCGGCGGTTTTCTGCCCGCCGTGCGCCCCGAGGCGCGCGGCGGCTTTCTGCCCCGTCACTCCGCGCGTCGCTCCCGGGAGGCGCTGCGACGGGCGACGGGGACCCGCGCGTCGCCCCCCGTCGCCCGTCGCGGCCTGCGCGACCTGCGTAGGGCCCGCGCGCGGCCCGTACAGCCTGCGCGCGGCCCGTACGGGCTGCGCCAGGCCCGCGCGCGGCCCGTACGGGCAGCGCCAGGCCCGCGCGCGGCCCGTACGGACTGCGCCAGGCCAGGGCGCGCCTCGGGCCGCCCGCACGCGGTTCGTACGGGCTGCGCCAGGCCCGTGGGCGCCCTGTTTTCTCTGCCCCTGCGCTGCCCGCTGTCCCCCGTGCTTCTGACGGCGCCCCACCCCTGCTGCTGCCCGTTCTCCTGAATTAGGGTTTGGGGGTGGGGGGTATGGGGGTGCAGTTTCTGTGCGTCGTCCCCTACTCCTCCTCCTCCTCCGTCTCCCAGTGCTGCAGCTGCCGCTGAGGGGGGTGGGTGTGTGGGAGCCGAAGGAGTGGTACTAGGGGGGTGACGTGCAAGTGGAGTTAGGAGTGAAGCAGTGGGTGTGTGGGGGGTGTGTGGGACAGTTGGAGGAGGTTGAGCAGAGGCTGCTGTCTTGTCGTCCGCAGCACCTGTAGTCCGGGGCGCACTGTCCTGGTAGCCCAGAGAGTCTGCTGCGCCTGTCGCCCGAGGGTCCGTTGCTCCTGTAGCTCGTCGTAGCCCGTGAGCCAGTTACTCCAGTAGTCCGGGGCGCACTGTCCCGGTAGCCACTGTGCCAGCAGCTCCTGTTGCCCGTGTGTCTGCAGCTTCAGCCGCCGTCTCTCATCTTCTCTCCTCTCACAGTCCCTCCTCCTCCTCACTTGCCCGCTGTGATTACCTCTAGCTTTGCTTCTTATTGTGAACTCCTGATATACCTGCTCATTGTGCTGATTACACCCCACTTTGGCTATGGGGGTGTGTCAGAATGTTGTATTTGTCTAGCCTGCAGTGGGGTACTCTATAGCGAGTACAGCCCAATCTAGGGTTTCCTATATGTACTCAACTGCTTGCTAGTGAACCTCCTCCTTTCTTCATTCTTTCTTTCTACTACTACTTCTGACAGGGCTACAGTAAACCGACCACCCTGGAACCTTCCTTGATAAGCGCGTTGAAGGCTATCAAGGCTCGATATAAGCGGACTACCCCGAACGTGACAATAATGGAATGCAAAAAAAACACCCCTTTTTTTGCAGGCGTTTTCAACCGCCGGAATCTACACCCAAACGAGTTTCTCTGGCAAAGTGCCCATTTTCTGATCCCCCGCACCATGCGGCCTCGAGGCCACGCACTATGCGGGGTATCAGTGATTCGGGGCAATCAAAAGTGACTGGTCAAATATGCCAGCCAATCACATGATCACGCGAACCATCATGGCAACTGCTTACCATCTTCCGCAAAACCCGAAATCTCGATAGATGCCATCAATCTACACCCAAATAATGCCAACCAAACACTCCACCCCGTCTTTTCCGAATGTGCACTGCAGCTACAATGCGATTTCGATGCTGTTTCTCGAAATGCCCAGGTGGCATTTTTTGGGGGCCCGTTAAAAATGCCCATTGTGGCCATAATGGCCATGATGCCTGCCAAACAGGGCCCAAGGAAGAAGTGAGAAATGGCAATCGAGGAGGAGTACCTCCTCGAACGGGAGGAATGGGGGAGATGTTGCGGTCTCGCCGGCGCCTTGGGGGCCCACGCGCCGGCCCCTCCCGTCGCCTCGTCGCGGCGCCTTGGGGGCCCGCGCGCCGGCCCCTTCCGTCGCCTCGTCGCGGCGCCTTGTGGGCCTGCGCATCGCCCCCTCCCGTCGCCTCGTCGCGGCGCCTTGAGGGCCCGTGCGCGGCCCCTCCCGTCGCCCGTCGAGCCGCCCTTGTGGGCCCGTGCGCGGCCCCCCTCCCGTCACCCGCCGTGGCGCCCTCGGGGGGCCCGCGCCCTGCTCCTTCGTGGCGCCCAGGAGACCCCCCTGCCGCCTCCCTTTCCCTCCGTGACCCGCCCCTGCTGCTTCCCGCGCTCCTACCTGCGTTAGGGTTTGGGGGTGGCGGGCATGGGGGTGACCGGTGTGGGTAACCTGCAGCTCCTCCTCCTCCTCCGTCTCCCACTGCTGCAGCTGCCGCTGAGGGGGGTGGGTGTGTGGGAGCCGGGGGTTTAGGGTTTAAGGGGGGTGATGTGGGATGGAAGCTAGGGGTACAGCAAGGGGTGTGTGAAAGGGGGGTGGGACAGTTGGGGGTGGCTGAGCGGAGGCTGCCGTCTTGTCGTCCGCAGCACCTGTAGTCCGGGGCGCTGTCCTGGTAGCCCAGTCGTAGCCAGCTGCGCCAGTCGCCCGTGGGTCCGTTGCTCCTGCCGCTCGTCTTAGCCGCGGAGCCAGTTACTCCAGTAGTCCGGGGCGCTGTTCCGGTAGCCGCTGTGCCAGTGTTACTCCTGTTGCCCGTGTGTCTGCAGCTTCAGCCGTCGCCTCCTATCTCCTCTCCTCTTACATTCCCGCCTCCTCCTCCTCACTTGCCTTTTGTTAATGCCTCTAGCTTTGCTTGTCCTTGTGAACCTGCTCTATGCCTGCTTGCTGTGCTGATTATACCCCACTTTGACTATGGGGGTGTGTCAAAATATAATGCTTGTCTAGCCTGCAGTGGGGTACTCTATAGTGAGTATGGCCCCTTAGGGTTTCCTATTTGTATCCCAAAATGTTGCTAGTCAAACCCTCTTCCTTCATTTCTGTTTTGCCTGCTGATTTTGACAGTTTGCGGGGGGGCGGGTCCCTGGAGAAGGTGCGCGCAAACGTCTCCCCCCGAAACGTCGTCCGCTCGAGCACACCTTCTCTGGGAACCCGCGCCTCCCGCAAACGTCTCCCCCCAAAACGTTGCTCGCTCACGCGCAACTTCTCCGGACCCGCGCAAGCCCTGCAAACGTCTCCCCCCGAAACGTCGCCCGCTCGCGCGCACCTTCTCCGGGGACCCGCCCCCTCCGCAAACGTCTCCCCCCGAAACGTCGCCCGCTCGCGCGCACCTTCTCCGGGGACCCGCCCCCCCCGCAAACGTCTCCCCCCGAAACGTCGCCCGCTCGCGCGCACCTTCTCCGGGGACCCGCGCCCCCTGCAAACGTCTCCCCCCGAAACGTCGCCCGCTCGCGCGCACCTTCTCCGGGGACCCGCGCCCCCCGCTAACGTCTCCCCCCGAAACGTCGCCCGCTCGCGCTCACCTTCTCCGGACCCCCGCGCCCCCCGCAAACGTCTCCCCCGAAACATCGCCCGCTCGCGCGCACCTTCTCCGGGGACCCGCGCCTCCTGCATACGTCTCCCTCCGAAACGACGCCCGCTCGCACGCACTTTCTCCGGACCCGCGCGAGCCCCGCAAACGTCTCCCACCGAAACGTCGCCTGCTCGCGCGCACCTCCTCCAGGGACCCGCCCCCTCCCGCAAACGTCTCCACCCGAAACGTCGCCCGCTCGCACGCACTTTCTTCGGGGACCCGCGCCCCCCGCAAACGTCTCCCCCCGAAACGTCGTCCGCTCGTGCGCACCTTCTCTGGGAACCCGCGCCCCCCGCAAACGTCTCCCCCCGAAACGTCGCCCGCTCGCACGCACCTTCTCTGGACCTCCGCGCCCCCCGCAAACGTCTCCCCCCGAAACGTCGCCCGCTCGCGCGCACCTTCTCCGGACCCGCGCGAGCCCCGCAAACGTCTCCCCCCGAAACGTCGCCCGCTCGCGCGCACCTTCTCCGGGGACCCGCCCTCCCCGCAAACGTCTCCCCCCGAAACGTCGTCCGCTCGCGCGCACCTTCTCCGAGGACCCGCCCTCCCCGCAAACGTCTCCCCCCGCGAAACGTCGCCGCTCGCGCGCACCCTTTCCGGGGACCCGCGACCCCCGCAAACGTCTCCCCCCGAAACGTCGCCCGCTCGCGCGCACCCTCTCCGGGGACCAGTTCCCCCCGCAAACGTCTCCCCCCGAAACGTCGCCCGCTCGCGCGCACCCTCATCGGGGACCCACCCCCCCGCAAACGTCTCCCCCCGAAACGTCGCCCGCTCGCGCGCACCTTCTCCGGGGACCCGCGCCCCCCGCAAACGTCTCCCCCGAAACGTCGCCCGCTCGCGCGCACATTCTCCGGGGACCCGCGCCCCCCGCAAACGTCTCCCCCCGAAACGTCGCCCGCTCGCGCGCACCTTCTCCGGGGACCCGCGACTCCTGCATACGTCTCCCTCCGAAACGACGCCCGCTCGCACGCACTTTCTCCGGGGACCCGCCCTCCCCGCAAACGTCTCCCCCCGAAACGTCGTCCGCTCGCGCGCACCTTCTCCGAGGACCCGCCCTCCCCGCAAACGTCGCCGCTCGCGCGCACCCTTTCCGGGGACCCGCGACCCCCGCAAACGTCTCCCCCCCGAAACGTCGCCCGCTCGCGCGCACCCTCTCCGGGGACCCGTTCCCCCCGCAAACATCTCCCCCCGAAACGTCGCCCGCTCGCGCGCACCCTCATCGGGGACCCACCCCCCCCGCAAACGTCTCCCCCCGAAACGTCGCCCGCTCGCGCGCACCTTCTCCGGGGACCCGCGCCCCCCGCAAACGTCTCCCCCGAAACGTCGCCCGCTCGCGCGCACCTTCTCCGGGGACCCGCGCCCCCCGCAAACGTCTCCCCCCGAAACGTCGCCCGCTCGCGCGCACCTTCTCCGGGGACCCGCGCCTCCTGCATACGTCTCCCTCCGAAACGACGCCCGCTGGCACGCACTTTCTCCGGACCCGCGCGAGCCCCGCAAACGTCTCCCACCGAAACGTCGCCTGCTCGCACGCACCTTCTCCTGGGACCCGCCCCCTCCCGCAAACGTCTCCATCCGAAACGTCGCCCGCTCGCACGCACTTTCTTCGAGGACCCGCGCCCCCCGCAAACGTCTCCCCCCGAAACGTCGTCCGCTCGTGCGCACCTTCTCTGGGAACCCGCGCCCCCCGCAAACGTCTCCCCCCGAAACGTCGCCCGCTCGCACGCACTTTCTCTGGAGTCGCGCCCCCCGCAAACGTCTCCCCCCGAAATGTCGCCCGCTCGCGCGCACCTTCTCCGGACCCGCGCGAGCCCCGCAAACGTCTCCCCCCGAAACGTCGCCCGCTCGCGCGCACCTTCTCCGGGGACCCGCCCTCCCCGCAAACGTCTCCCCCCGAAACGTCGTCCGCTCGAGCGCACCTTTTCCGGGGACCCGCGCCCCCCCCAAACGTCTTCCCCCGAAACGTCGCCCGCTCTCGCGCATTTTCTCTGGACCCCCGCGCCCCCCGCAAACGTCTCCCCGCGAAACGTCGCCCGCTCGCGCGCACCTTCTTCGGGGACCCGCGACCCCCGCAAACGTCTCCCCCCAAAACGTCGCCCGCTCGTGCGCACCTTCTCCGGGGACCCGCGCCTCCTGCATACGTCTCCCTCCGAAACGACGCCCGCCCGCGCGAGCCCCGCAAACGTCTCCCACCGAAACGTCGCCTGCTCGCGCGCACCTCCTCCTGGGACCCGCCCCCCCCCCGCAAACGTCTCCACCCGAAACGTCGCACTCGCACGCACTTTCTTCGGGGACCCGCGCCCCCCGCAAACGTCTCCCCCCGAAACGTCGTCCGCTCGTGCGCACCTTCTCTGGGAACCCGCGCCCCCCGCAAACGTCTCCCCCCGAAACGTCGCCCGCTCGCACGCACCTTCTATGGACCTCCGCGCCCCCCGCAAACGTCTCCCCCCGAAACGTCGCCCGCTCGCGCGCACCTTTTCCGGACCCGCGCGAGCCCCGCAAACGTCTCCCCCCGAAACGTCGCCCGTTCGCGCGCACCTTCTCCGGGGACCCGCCCTCCCCGCAAACGTCTCCCCCCGAAACGTCGTCCGCTCGCGCGCACCTTCTCCGGGGACCCGCCCTCCCCGCAAACGTCTCCCCCCGCGAAACGTCGCCGCTCGCGCGCACCCTTTCTGGGGACCCGCGACCCCCGCAAACGTCTCCCCCCGAAACGTCGAATGCTTGCGCGCACCCTCATCGGGGACCCGCCCCCCCCGCAAACGTCTCCCCCCGAAACGTCGCCCGCTCGCGCGCACCTTCTCCGGGGACCCGCGCCCCCCGCAAACGTCTCCCCCGAAACGTCGCCCGCTCGCGCGCACCTTCTCCGGGGACCCGCGCCCCCCGCAAACGTCTCCCCCCCGAAACGTCGCCCGCTCGCGCGCATCTTCTCTCGGAACCCGCGCCTCCTGCATACGTCTCCCTCCGAAACGACGCCCGCTCGCACGCACTTTCTCCGGACCCGCGCGAGCCCCGCAAACGTCTCCCACCGAAACGTCGCCTGCTCGCGCGCACCTTTTCCTGGGACCCGCCCCCTCCCGCAAACGTCTCCACCCGAAACGTCGCCCGCTCGCACGCACTTTCTTCGGGGACCCGCGCCCCCCGCAAACGTCTCCCCCCGAAACGTCGTCCGCTCGTGCGCACCTTCTCTGGGAACCCGCGCCCCCCGCAAACGTCTCCCCCCGAAACGTCGCCCGCTCGCGCGCACCTTCTCCGGACCCGCGCGAGCCCCGCAAACGTCTCCCCCCGAAACGTCGCCCGCTCGCGCGCACCTTCTCCGGGGACCCGCCCTCCCCGCAAACGTCTCCCCCCGAAACGTCGTCCGCTCGCGCGCACCTTCTCCGGGGACCCGCCCTCCCCGCAAACGTCTCCCCCCGCGAAACGTCGCCGCTCGCGCGCACCCTTTCCGGGGACCCGCGACCCCCGCAAACGTCTCCCCCCGAAACGTCGCCCGCTCGCGCGCACCCTCTCCGGGGACCCGTTCCCCTCGCAAACGTCTCCCCCCGAAACGTCGCCCGCTCGCGCGCACCCTCATCGGGGACCCGCCCCCCCCGCAAACATCTCATCCCGAAACGTCGCCCGCTCGCGCGCACCTTCCCTGGACCCCCGCGCCCCCCGCAAACGTCTCCCCGCGAAACGTCGCCCGCTCGCGCGCACCTTCTCCGGGGACCCGCGACCCCCGCAAACGTCTCCCCCCAAAACGTCGCCCGCTCGTGCGCACCTTCTCCGGGGACCCGCGCCTCCTGCATACGTCTCCCTCCGAAACGACGCCCGCTCGCACGCACTTTCTCCGGACCCGCGCGAGCCCCGCAAACGTCTCCCACCGAAACGTCGCCTGCTCGCGCGCACCTTCTCTTGGGACCCGCCCCCTCCCGCAAACGTCTCCACCCGAAACGTCGCCCGCTCGCACGCACTTTCTTCGGGGACCCGCGCCCCCCGCAAACGTCTCCCCCCGAAACGTCGTCCGCTCGTGCGCACCTTCTCTGGGAACCCGCGCCCCCCGCAAACGTCTCCCCCCGAAACGTCGCCCGCTCGCACGCACCTTCTCTGGACCTCCGCGCCCCTCGCAAACGTCTCTCCCCGAAACGTCGCCCGCTCGCGCGCACCTTCTCCGGGCCCGCGCGAGCCCCGCAAACGTCTCCCCCCGAAACGTCGCCCGCTCGCGCGCACCTTCTCCGGGGACCCGCCCTCCCCGCAAACGTCTCCCCCCGAAACGTCGTCCGCTCGAGCGCACCCTTTCCGGGGACCCGCGCCCCCCGCAAACGTCTCCCCCCGAAACGTCGCCCGCTCGCGCGCACCTTCTCTGGACCCCCGCGCCCCCCGCAAACGTCTCCCCGCGAAACGTCGCCCGCTCGCGCGCACCTTCTCCGGGGACCCGCGACCCCCGCAAACGTCTCCCCCCAAAACGTCGCCCGCTCGTGCGCACCTTCTCCGGGGACCCGCGCCCCCCGCAAACGTCTCCCCCCGCGAAACGTCGCCCGCTCGCGCGCACCTTCTTCGGACCCGCACGAGCCCCGCAAACGTCTCCCTCCAAAACGTCGCCCGCTCGCGCGAACCTTCTATGGGGACCCGCCCCCTCCGCAAACGTCTCCCCCCGAAATGTCGCCCGCTCGCGCGCACCTTCTCCGGGGACCCGCGCCCCCCGCAAACGTCTCCCCCCGAAACGTCGCCCGCTCGCGCGCACCTTCTCTAACCCCCGCGCCCCCCGCGAACGTCTCCCCCCCCGAAACGTCGTTCGCTCGCGCGCACCTTCTTCGGAGACCCGCGCCCCCCGCAAACGTCCCCCCCCGAAACGTCGCCCGCTCGCGCCCACCTTCTCTGGACCCCCGCGCCCCCCGCAAACGTCTCCCCGCGAAATGTCGCCCGCTCGCGCTCACCTTCTCCGGGGATCCGCGACCCCCGCAAATGTCTCCCCCCAAAACGTCGCCCGCTCGCGCGCACCTTCTCCGGGGACCCACGCCCCCCGCAAACGTCTCCCCCCGAAACGTCGCCCGCTCGCGCGCACCTTTTCCGGACCCGCGCGCCCACCGCAAACGTCTCCCCCGAAACGTCGCCCGCTCTCGCGCACCTTCTCCGGGGACCCGCGCCCCCTGCGTACGTCTCCCCCCGAAACGACGCCCGCTCGCGCGCACTTTGTCCGGACCCGCGCGAGCCCCGCAAACGTCTCCCCCCGAAACGTCGCCCGCTCGCGCGCACCTTTTCCTGGGACCCGCCCCCTGCCGCAAACGTTTCCACCCGAAACGTTGCCCGCTCGCACGCACCTTCTTCGGGGACCCGCGCCCGCCGCAAACGTCTCCCCCCGAAACGTCGTCCGCTCGTGCGCACCTTCAAGAGAAGGTGAACAGAGAGGGAGCGGATAGCGAAAGGGACAGTTAGAGGGAGCGAGAGGAAGGGGAACAGGAGATGCAGGGATGGTATTTGCAGACATGCAGGGACAAGTACAGACAAGGAATTGAAAGAGAGTGAGTACAGTGAGAGGTAGTGCTCGCCGATGGACATCGAAAGAGAGAGAGAGAGAGTGAAGGATGAGAATGAACTCAACACCAAACAATGAAGAGGAGACTGGGCTCCTTACCCTTATATACCAGGGGACTAGGCTGAAAGGGACAGTTAGAGGGAGCGAGAGGAAGGGGAACAGGAGATGCAGGGATGGTATTTGCAGACATGCAGGGACAAGTACAGACAAGGAATTGAAAGAGAGTGAGTACAGTGAGAGGTAGTGCTCGCCGATGGACATCGAAAGAGAGAGAGAGAGAGTGAAGGATGAGAATGAACTCAACACCAAACAATGAAGAGGAGACTGGGCTCCTTACCCTTATATACCAGGGGACTAGGCTGAAAGCGAGCAAGGACAAGGCTAGGCTAAGGAACTAGGCTGAAAAATGAAAGAGTGTAATAGAGTGAAGGCACACTTAGAGAGAGGTGACGGAGATTGAAGGTGGATGCACGGACATTGAGAGTGACGCGGGAAAACATAACGAACACATGCATCATCTATTTTTCTCGGAAAGCGACGAAGCGAGCAAAGGGACGGAGTGACAGAGTGGGAACGGAAAAGCGGGCCGACAATGAAAGGAAATAGAGAAGGAACAGAGAGACTGAGACATGGCAGATGGTGAACTCGAGGGGTGCGGAGGGAGAAAGCGAGGAACCGGAAAGGCTGCGAGGCAAGGGAGGGAGATAGCGAATGAACAGAGAATAGGAGAGGGGAAACGAGAAATTGAATGAACAGAATGACACTGGGAGAGAACGGAATGAAATTGCAAGGACGGGGGAATAGATAGACAAACCTGAATGTCCAGCCTGCGGACCATGAGCCAATGGGGGCGTGTTCGGTGACGGGGCGCCATGCACTGGGTTTGTCAGTAGATCGGCGTGATCTTCACCAACGCCGCCACCATCGACCACCTCGATGCGGCGGTTCCCGCCCAAATTTCCTCCATGTACCCGAACCATCTGGGACGTGCAACATTTCTGCCCCCGGACATAGAAAGGGCCTCTCCGATCTCTTTGTACTCCCTCTCCAATCGCTTCCACTGCTGCTTCATAGCCTCCGTTTTGCGCGTCCAATTCAGATTCGCCTTCCGGAGATAGCGACGAAGTTTCTTCCAACAATGTGAGCTTTGCTTGCCCTGCACCGACCTCAGGTCCTCGTGTGTGAACCAGCGTGCAACGGCCAGCTCGATCATCTCCTCCGTCCAAACCTTCCGTCTTTTCTTGGGCTTAACGGCCTTTCCCTTTCCCTTAGTCTTGGCTTTCGCCATGCTCGCGCCAAAGCTCTCCGCACCAATTTTAGTGTCGTCATTAACGGGCTCCTTGTCGCTCTCAGCACAATCAATTGCGGCGTCAGAGTCGTCCTCGCTGTTGTTGCTCTTGTACGCCAAAAACTCCTCGAGTTCGGAATCAGGGCCCGTAGTGTTTAATATTTCAAATTCTTCGCAAGCCTGGTTGTCACAATCACCGAAAGGTTCGCCACCACGGGTCTCCTGACTCTCGATCCGAATGCGACCACGTCAGTCGCCGAGCTGCTGGCACGTCTTCATCCAAAGGACGTACGGGGGTTCCTGCATAGGGACCTCAAGTTCAGGAACGGGCGCCTTTCTCCCTTTCCCTTGTCAGAGGCCTTGCTGTACTTGTGTTGTGGAGCCATATTCAAGAAGATACACGATATAACGAAGGTAAGCGCTAAGGGCGTGACAGCGGTTAAAGGACTGGCATACTTGTAGTACCATTGTGCTTCGGTTTATAGCATGTGAGCAGAGAGTGATGGTAAATCTCGAGTGTCTTTGATCTATCACTACCGCGCCAAATTGTACGAGATCTAGAGAAATTTGCAGTTGGAATTGTTGGAAGAAGGCTGGATGGTAAATCTTGAGTGTGGTTCAGAGTTGACAGTCGCGCACAATTCATCTGACATTGACCGCTGGTTGTCAATGTCGAGTTGCGAGGCTATTTGCAATGGCGTTAGATAAAGACGGTCGATCGGCATTTTGAGGAAACTAGCCAATGGAGCTGGACGAATTTGGCGAGATATGGTAACATTTGTGTGGTCACACACTAGAAATCGGGTGGGGATAGTGGTCGTTGACCCAAAGGGAAATTTTACGGTTCGTGTCGTCCCAAGTATTCACAAGATCCAAACACGGATTGAGACGAGGAGAGGAATGTGTCCTTAAGCTTGTATCCTACCATCCCGCCATTGTTCCCATCGCGCTCGGACCACCCGGTCCTACGCTTCGACATTCTCTCATGCTTTTAGGGCGTGTCCCATGAGTTCATTTCGGGGGAAAACCAATAATTTTACGCAACTTTGAGTCAGCAAGAAAGTGTACACTCCTACAAAAAAATCACGCAGCGTGTCAGCACTGTGCCTAACGAAATTGCACCACGCCGACTTACAGTCCCACCCACACAAAACTCGTCGAGTTTTCAGCATATCAGGGACAGGTACCTGGACCCATCCGCTTTCAGGGGACGAGCAGCGCTTTCTGCGCACAGTTTTCTCAAAACAGTGGGCTAGGGGGGGACATTTATGATCCACACGTTACATCCTACACAAATCGCCCACTGCATATCTACGATCACAGATTCTGCACTGCGCCTGCTTGTCTTTTCTACTGAATCCAGCCCACGTTCCGAGTGGCTCTCCAAACCAATGTTCCCAAACCTGTATATTGCACCCGAAAGCCTAAGAAAATATGGGGAATATATATTGCAGCTCCTGAACCAAACAAACGCAGTACCCTCTTCGTAGCTTCTCAGTGCACCTTTCAGTGTCTATCAGGAGCCACGTAGTGAGCCAGAAGGCTGAGAGGGTACACGAGGTCAGGTCGTGACTACGTCATCAAGTACATGAGGCAACCCATAAGTTCTGGATACGGACCACTCGGCTCTACGGACTCTTCTGAAGGTGGAGGTGAGAGCGAGTAGCCTGTAGGCACAGAAGTGGGTTGTGGCGAGGAGATCTCGTAGCCGAATCGCTGAAGGACCTGCTGCACCATGTGTGACTGAGTCAGGGTGATGGTGCGCCATGCTTTGTCCTGGGTGATCTGCAAGCAAAGATAGCTCCGCAGCTCACCCAGGTAAGTGCAGCTGTGTCTCTCCTGCAGCTCCGCCTTCACTAGGGCCAGTGCCTCAAAAACAGCAGTAGCAAGAACCAAGTCGTCAATATACACAAGAACGTGTAACGGCAGCAGAGAAGTGTCTGTACGCAGAAACAGTGAAGGGTCAGCAGTCGATGTAGCGAAACCAAGAGCCGCAAGTGTAGTTCTCAGTGTGTCGTGCCACTCACGGGGCGCCTGACGCAGACCGTAGATTGGTCACCGGAGACTCCATTGGGTACCCTCACGAAACGACCCAGTGAAGCCAGGTGGGCGGCACAATCAGAAAGCCTCGTGAAGGCTGCCCTGCAAGAAAGCTGTCGAGAATTCAAGGGAGTGCAGCTCGTAGTCACGCTGTGCTGCAACGTACAGTAGAGTGGTCATCTTCTTGGTGGGGGAGAAGGTCTGGAAGAAGTCGACCCCCTATCACTGACTGAAGCCTCGTGCAACGTAACGCGCCTTGAAGATAGGCGGAGAACCCGGCAGTCGCTTCACTCGGAAAATCCACATGCCATCGACTATGTTAGTGCCAGGTGGAGAACTTCGTCGACATAGGTGTCTGTGGACTTCTAGGAAGCCATCTTTGCATCCATAGCTGTCTGCAACTGAGAGGAGTACTCACTCGTAAGAGCGCGGGGTGGGGATGTCTAGAGCATCCGAGTCTTCATCTGGGCAAAGTAGCGTGGACGCGAGATGAGGTGCAGCGGCCGCTAGGCACTCCAGCTCAAACTGCCTGTCCTCAAGGACGTCTTAGCCAAGGGCAAGCTCACCCCCGACGGACGGAGGACAGGAAGAGTAAAAAACAAGACTCGCAGAGTAGTCAAGGTTGCACAAATCAGCAAGGTCAACAAGCTCAGCAACTAAGGCAAACGCAACAGCAGACTCAAAGGAAGGGTCAGTCACAACCGTGGCAAGAAGACGAGTGACAGTCGGATTGGCAGTACCGACAAGGTCAGACTTAGGGTTAGGAACGTAAGGAGGAGAAGATGCGGGGGGCGACGGCAGGATTGCGGAGATTCAATGTATATGTAGTGAGCTAGACTACGGGATATTGGCACGAACTACTAGGAGTGATCGTAGCTTTGCTTAGTTC